TCAGGTTAGCGTAGATTATCCAACTGGCATTGACCTGTTAGGAAATCGACCTGAGCTAACCTCGCTGGTCCAGTATAGCCTTTGTAATTATTGGCCAAGCACTTTAAAACCTATTACTAATCGTGAGACTCTTTGAGACCAATCTACCGTTTTTGCTTCTAAGTTCTATCTCTCTTAGTTTGGAAATGACAGGTGATCCTATCGACCCGCCTCCCCCCCCCCCCCCCACCCTCTACCAGACCGCGTTATGAAAAACGGTGTGTCAGCGCGAGGCTTAAACAACGCGTTTGGGGTTTAAATTACTTGTCGGCAAACCATTGTGAGAGTCTGCTGGTTCACTCCGGAGATCTTAACAAACAAGTGGAGTGGGTAGAGTGAGTCCCACTCCCATACCTCGCCCCACAATGTGCGTGCTAGGATAGGTAAATTTACCTCTATTTTAAGACAAAGTTCAATCGCTCTTATTGATAGGACTCTCATTTAATTCGGAACACCTTTTTGCATCCCAAAGTTGGTTCTTCAGCATTTTAATATGATAACGCACGCGTAGAAGGAAAACCTTGCGGGAAAAATATTATATTATTTGAGCTTATATAAAGGTGTCTACTATAACCACACACATCACATTGCAATCCATATACATATACATGCTACGATTTTTGAAATAAGGCATTTCTCGCTGCTGAGAGCCGAACAGTCTGAAGTTGCAATGAGGAATGGAGTCTTCACAGCTCCGAAGGCGAGATAAGTAATATTTCCCCTCGTGTGACCGAAAAACCAAGGCGGCGAAAAAGCGAGATTTGAGCAGAACACACAAAAACAAACATTTCATTTTCTTTCATGATTGGCACAATGACTTATGAAAATGAAATGCAAAAGATGTCATACCCCCGTCGCAAGCGAACAGGTAGCTATGTTTTACCACGTTTGGTGTGCTCTTCCACTCAGCACAGCACCACCATGGTAATTCGACACGCTCATTGCCTCACATTGTGTTGAGAATTAGCGCTTGGTTTTAACTGATGTGGAGAATCACCTGGCGCAATCTTAGGTCCCTCGGACCTATGGATAATGAGCTATCACCCGAGGCTTTTTCATAAATGGAGTTGGCAGTGATGTGTTTCCTAACATTTTAGCACCCATGGTCATGCACAAAATGATATCAACGTATCTATTTTTGCGATCGCAAAGAGTTGATTAATGACTAAGAGTTAATTAATGATAACATCAAAGGTCATCGGTCCAATATCGCATATAATCAGTTCTTAACATTGTATTCTGGAGATACCAGTTTTCGTACGTTGCCTTTCCGAATAGAAACGAAATCCGAGAGCACGATTGTCTGAACTAACTTTTCATGACTCAAAGCATGGTCCTTTTCACTCATTTAGCATTCGGTCGCCCGTCTCCGAAATGGGACATTCGTCTGCTATCATACGGCCCCAATGCACTGATAAACCGTTTAGATTGCTTCGCTAGTCGGTGCCAAGGGTACGTTAGTGCCTGCAATCCCTTAGCACCGTATCAAACCTAGGCGGTTCTCTCATGTGTACCAATTCTAAATGTCATCCTGTCCAGTAGGAACAATGTCTTAAGCGTGCAAGCTGACACGCTCAGGACGTCTGACAATGCGCTTCTGCGGCGGGGAACCTCTGTACTACATGCGACACGAACATGACGGGATATTTACAGGACAGCAGCTGAAGGACAACACTGATACCCTTCAGACATGCAATGACAGATCTAAAACTTGGAGACGTGTAAGTATCGATGAATTATCCCGATCTCTAAGCAAACAAATTATCGTACAGCTCTTGAGTTACTGGGTGAAGACGTAACACATCGTTGATATCATTGGGATTACGTGTCTCGGTAGTGTGTTGTGCCATTGCTGATGTATTTCACACACGTTTAAACAACGGCCTCATGGCGATAAAAATGATTAACCCCTCCCCTTATTCTGGGGTCACATGTCTTCGCCGCTCGCTCAAAATACCTCATAAAGATGCAGTGGAAAAACTCAAGCTCTCAACTTAACCCATGTGCTATTTTGTGTGTCTTCGAAGATGCCATATGACCTTGCAACGTTTAAAGATATGATACTGTTGAACATATCAGTGATATTGAATACACCATTTTTGATTCTATCAATACTACAAAGACAAACCACAAAGTTTTTAACCATGCCTAAAGCAACCATAAAGGATATCGAACATATATAGGATAACTGGTACATAATTTTCTCAGGATGCACCGATCGTGTCCCATGTGTATGTTTCATAGCATGCCACAAAATACAATATCCACATGAGTGCCTAGGAAATCAGGTTAGGGTGGATATACTTCCACCGTCAAAGCTTATACCAATATATGATCCAACGATCCTCCGAGGCCAAAAATTCGTTTGATTACTTGTGTGTTAGTAAACAGCTGAGGCTGATAACAGTCGGTTTCGACATGGAGCAGCCGTCTTTGTATTTAGCCGAAAAGGGAACTTTTGTGAGCCCAATCCCCCAAGGTAGTTTGCTGGCGGCAATCGATCGTCGATGCCCTCCTTTGGAAATGCACTGCTGAAAGTGTAACAATTTGTTGTTGCCCAGGCGATATTCCGAACGTCTCTGTGATGGGGCCTTACGATTTATGGTATTTTTGTGGGCAAAGTACGCATAGCTCCTACATGGCGCAAGCGAGTGAAATGATCTTGATATCCACAACACAACAAATCACGACACTCGTTAGGAAGCGGATACGTGTAAAAGCTTACACTTATAATCCTAACGTTGTTAACGTGATGAAATGAGCGACACTGGTAGCCTAACTTGTGCACATAAAGGACTGGAAGCCGGGAACTTCTGCAAACATATCGCGCGGATGAAGCAAGCCATCCGCGTTAGCAAAACGACGTATTTATTGCAAGAAGCATATTTGATTTATTACAGCAATCGAGTAATGTGTTGATGGCAACGGCACTATTGAAATACTAAGTTGCGATTGATTGCGTACGACTTACCTTCTCAAAATAAGCTTCAGTTGGTACCGTTGATGCAGTATTTTATGACTCTTGGATTGGATATATCTTCGGCAGTTTGGTCCAAAACTTAAGACTTTACTTTGCACTGTAATTTTTTGTGACGGGCTGCTGAAATTACCTTGATTATTTTGTCCAAAATCCGATATCATCAGCTTGTGTAGGTCTTGAGCCGAAAACTCCAAGAGCTCTTGTACGGTGGTATTGTCATATCGCAATAGGTCAATATGTCTGTAAACTGCATCGAATTCGTCTATTTGCATTTCTTCCGAGAGACCGAAAAATGAGAATCCGTTAAATGTTTTCCTAAATGTGTATCCTTCAATAGCTTTATCCGGCGCGATATGTGAGCACGTCGTGTTATTCCAATTGTTCCGGAGAAATTCCATTTTATGCAAGAATGTATCTTTCTCATGCACAAAGTGATTCTTTTCAAGGCATGAAACTGCGAGCTTTAAATCATCGCCAGAAAGTGAATTTTCCATATCAAATGTGTTAAAATCGACATTGGTAGCGATCTTGTAATAGCGACCAAAATTCAATATCTTCGATGGTTCAATTGCTGGGAATGGGCAGACGGTGATTTCAAGTCTTGTTTTATCAACTGTTTCTGTTGCAGTGTACACCTGTAAAAAGGCAGAAATCACGGTTGTGGTTAGCTGCAACAAGGCATATTTTCTGCTGCTGACACAACAAAACGTGCCTGACAGAAGGCTTCAGGACAGATCTCAGCACATTGCTGTTAGCTATCAGTTTACATTACTAGCTGTCAGTATTGCGAATGCTATAAACCTCGCTGCACGCACGCTACTGTGTAGCGAGGATGGAGAGGCAATCTTTTTCAGCATCAGCGAAGGGATTTTGCCACGACCAAACCATTCGAGATCCAACATAAGCCATAAGCAATGTAAGCCAGTCAATTCTCATTCTCTTTAAACCAGGACTTACACTACCTCGTGCAATATCATGTAGGGTTAGTTTGGACATTTGAATGGCCTGTATCGTGACATACAAGCCTGGCACTAATGGTCTGTTCACACGAACTTTTTCAGTGCATCGGATGCACGTCGAAAGCAGGCAACGTTGTGCTAAAAAAGTGAGGCGTCTAATGTATACCCACGACGTGCTTAAATTGAGATAAAATAGAGCGAGCTCGTCGCATTGCAGGGGCGGCGAATCATGGGGAGGGGGGGGGGGGGGAGCTGGCAGCGTGATAGAAGTGTCCCCGATCTTTTGAGGTGTGGCAAAACTAACTTTTGCCCCCCCCCCCATCATTTCAGGTGGTCTAGACGGAGTCCACGAGTATGTGATAGTACTGGCTTACTGTATCCCCAAACCAAACTTGAAGGACCCATGTCTGGGCCCGAAAGGGCTATCTTGAACCCAGAAGGGAATCGTTTCGAGTCCGCGAAGGGCCTATCTTAGGCTGGAAACGTTATATTTCGAGGCCAGAAAATATTCATGTCACTTCTGACGTGGTAGGGGCCCTCTCTGGTCTAGAAAAGGCTCTCGTAAGGTCAAAAAGGGTCCGTCTCAGGTCATGAAAAACGCCCACCGCAGGCTGAGAGAGGGCCCTCTCAGGTCTGAAAAGGATACATCATAAATTTAGAAACGACTCGTCCCAAGTCAGGTAGGGACCCAGCAAGGCTGATAAATGGGGAACTTAATTTCAAAAAGACTTATCTCATTGTTGGGATCTGGAAAGGGCCCAGCTCTGGTCCGGAATGGACTCATTGTAGGATCAGAAAGCCAGTGGTGGCATCCGCTGGGCAAACTGCCCTCGATGCATGAGGTAAAGGCCAACACAATATTTTGCCCCAGATTTCAGGTGGCCTAAATAGGTGGTCGGATTTGTGAAAGAGATTTGGCTATTATGTGTAATCACGGAAGGTATAGAGAGCCCATCTTGAAGGGAGTGCTCCACATTTGTCTGTGGTTTCGAACTGAAATAGTAATCTTGAAGATCACTTGGTGCAGCTTACAGCCCTGCCCTCCTTAAGGCTTAAACCGGTCCATTTTCTGAGCTAAAATCAAGCGAGGACTTGCGGGCTATTTCGGGGAAGAGTATTTCAAGGTCACCCAGGCGGCCATAACGCCGTAACAACACCATTCAGATTCTGCAATTCCGATAGCTATGAAGCGACCAGGGCCAAGAACAATGTAATCGTCGATTCGTTCATACGCGACGGTCGTGGGCACGATCTCCAGGTATAACTGACTCTCTGTCCAGATATAACTGTCAATTGCCTCTCTATCAATTGTGTGCAAAGTACGTTAACGGAATCAAACGCTAGCGTATTGAGGAGCATATTTACTCAATAGAAATATTGTGATGTCTAGAGCTTTCCGATCAGACTGAAAAGGCCCAATGTGGGCTCAAAAAGACCCGTTTCTGAACAGGGAATGCCCTTCATAAGCTCAGAAACGTCCGTGTCAGGCCTGGGTGGAGTTTATCGTGAACATAGAAAGGGCTCTCTCACGTCTGGAAAAGGCCTTTGGTAAGCCCAATTAGGACCCTTATTAAATTACAAAATGACACATTTCAGGCTGAAAAGTGAGCATGGATAACAGGAATCGCATTTCAGCCTTCCACGGGCTTCTTAAAGGTCTGAATAGGTCACTGACCTAACACAACCCAGGTGATCATTTCGTTTTAGGATCATACTGTCTAGCGTAATATTTGACGTTCACTGAAGTGCAAAAATCAAAGCGTTCTTGTATGATTTTGATCGCCATGACTTGTGAAAGGTCAAACAAGGTCACTTACCTTAACTGAGCACCAGTGACCTTTTCCTTAGAATACCTATCTAGGTTTTGAGTCACTTTGACACCAATTTGGAGCTTGACCTTATCTTAAGTATTTGATCTTATTTGACCCAAAGGTCTTGACCTAGGAACCTCAAACTTTGTCAAAGTAAGTTCACTTGCAGGTCAACACACCCTGTGAAATTATTGTCTTTAACTGTTTTGTATGCTAACAAGTGCCGTTAATCATGTTCAACAGCACAACTTTAACACACGCCTCTTGCTTTTATCGCGTACACCTGGCTGATAAGATGGAAGAGGAATTTTTGGCGCTCACCTTGTACTTTGCGCCATATGCTCCCAGAATGTTAGGATTAAGAACATTTTTTTTTGTGCTTCGGGTGTGGAAAATCCTCGGCATTAGCTGGCATAATGAATCCCAAACTACCGTCATTCTGGATTCTCCGAACTATTATGACACATTAATATGATTTTGTATTCGTATAGCACATTTTTCACTCTCGAGGCCCTAGTTTTCCGTTAAGATCCATGGGGATTATACAAAGATCACCTGCTCTCACAAAGAATCTTCACTTCCAGGTTTCGATACAAAAGAGCGTGCGGACAACCACGAATTCTTCGGTAAGTGGAAGAGGAGATTCACAGCATATCAGTCCATGGCAGTTGAGCTCACTTTATGATGAGAATGGGTCAGAAATGTATATTTTCATTTCATCAAACAAATACCTCCAGTCTGGTCGCCACGACAGCGTGTTCTTCTCGTCTCCGTACGTTGTCATTGAGGTGGGCCAAGGCGCTGTTATACTGCGTCATGCTGATTTTCCACTAACAGAGCCTCCAGAAAGCTACATTTGGCGCCGTATGCGGAAAACGTTCGAATGCAAGATATCGGATTAAATGAATGCAACTAAAACAGCGCATGAACCCCGTGAATTTTCAGGATAAAAAAAGCGAAAACTGACAACGTGTTAGCACAGTGCTGATTAGTATTTCAACTGTAAAATTGTGTCAGAACTTGGAAGTTTTCATTCCCAGGAACGTCTTAGGTTCAATAAGAGCGCCAGAGCGGCGATTCACACCATGCGTCTTACGGTGACATTATGGGGACTTGGGCGCCATCCTGATGACTGCTCGCCTTCAGCGCATTCAAAAAGTCAGGGGCTGGTGTTGCATATGAAAAATTGTGAATGCTGCTCCCATACATTCTTTTTAATACCTTCCAAAAATCCTAGATTCAGACGTTTTTCAGATGTATTCTCTCTTCACATTCCATGTACAGGTGTTCTTTCAGATATATTCGTTTTGAGTATTCTGATCGTTGTAGATGTTCGTCAATTCTAGATTTTAGAAATAAGAACTGTCTTTAAAAGCAAGAATGCAACACCGTTTAAGCCACCCTTGTTTCACATTTGCTGCCGTGATATTATTTTAAACAGGGGTGTAGCTTTCTATTCAGTTGGCGGGAGACTGAAGCCCCCCCCCCCCCCCCTCTCCTCCCAACATGGGTTGCCGTCCCCCAGCTTTGGGAAGAAGGTGGGCAAAATGCGGGGTCCTCCTGAAATTCTTTAATCCAAAAGAGGCCTCACATGGGTCCAAAGAGGCCCTGCTTGCGAAATTTTTGGCCTGCAAAACACGGCCCCTCGCAGAGTTTTGAACTTCAATGAAGACCGTCTCGGGCCCGAGGGGCCACGCTTCTTTAGTGGCGTATTCAGGCTTTGTCCAGGACGGCACCAATCGAGCCATGTGGGTCCTTCCAGTCAAAGGGCTCCTTTTTGCCGTTGTTTTTCGTTTTGGTAAGTGTCTTTTTCTGAGAGTCTTGAAATCCGAGCAGCCCTCGCTTAAGATTCAAGTGTATTAAGACGATCTCCAGTGGAGCAAATACATAATAGAAATAGGGCTATAATTTTATAATTAGAGATACGTTGCTCGGCTTGGGATCCTGTTTTGATGGCTCAGGGGCCGTTTTTATGCTTAAGAAACCCTACGGGTGTCTTAAACTGGTAGAATTAGCGGGGAGGCACTCCGCGATCTCCAGAAGCGGGGAATGGCTCTAAAGCCCCTTCAAAGCTCCCAATGACCACCCCACTGCGCCTCTTTAACTTTAGAGCACAAAAATCACATGCAGGCTTCTCCGGGATCCATGCGAGCATGGGCAGCAGCGGACGGTAAAAAGGGGTCGTCACAGGAAGCTCAGTCTCATGAGACAGGACCGTCGAAGGCATCCGGCTCTCTCTTAAGATTACTTTTAGGCTGCGCGCCTGCTCAGATCATGAGAAACTTGATTTATTACTTTTCATGGCTTGCCTATGTATCACAAATCTGGAAAGGCGATGCCAAAAGGTCGTGAGGCCATCTGGCAGCATTGTATTTCAATAAATCCTATTACGAGAACAATGACCTGCCCTTTGTCAGAGTACGTTGAAATACCTTGCCACATACAGCTTCACAACCAGGTGCCAAAGCTTTCAGGACCCTTTAAATTAACCTTACAGCGCCGTTGCGCCATGTGAGGATTTTCCATGTTTCGGTAGATGTCCATCTATGGTGCCAAAAATACCAAGTACGCCATGTCTCTGGCGATGAGACTTTTTTCTTGAAACGAAGAAAAGAAAAAGACTTTTGAAAAAAACTTTTTCTTTTTCTGAAGCTTGCAGACTTAGGTGGCGCTTGTATCTCAAATAAATGAACATGACAGCAATTCTATATATGTGTCTCAACAAATCCATGCATACCGCTTGCAAGAATATATCGCCTTCATTTAAGGGAGTGCAAATTGCCGGAGTCAAGCTTACTGTCTGGGGATCCAAAGTCCTATTCCTTTAGTTTCTTTCCGCTCCGTTGAACTCTTTTGTCGCCCGAAGGTGGAATACCCCGTCACAGACAGTGTAAGGTATGACGACGCAATCAAACAATGACGTATTCAAGGACATAATTACTAAACAGATAAATTGTGTTGTCCGAAGCCGTCTTTTTCACTTAAAAGTACACCAATGCTTATAAGTGAGGTTATTTCATCATAGCTCATGCTTGCTTCAGTATCTTAAAAATGTGGAATATTTTCTTTAAAGGGGTAGGGCACACTGGTTTTCGCCTGGTCGGCATTCAACCTTCCACATCTGTAAGGGCCCACCTCAAAGAGGGCTGTCCTGAGTGAGGCTTTGGGGAGCAGAGCAGGAGGGGCCAGGTGGCTAGGTCTCTTTGGTACAAAGATATTCCTCCTGAGGGGGGGGGGGGGAGGAATCTCGGGTCCCCTGGTATTGGTTTGGGAGTAGTGGTAAGCGGGCACCTGAGTAGAAACATACCCATGAGCCAACCTACCTCTAACAGGGGTCCACTTCAAACGGGCCAGTCCTTGAAGCCAATCAGAACCTCTTCCAGACCCCATGCTGACGTAAGCTGATCAAACGAAGAGCGATTGGCTGACTTGCCTCATTCAGATCTGAGGGGGACCATATGGGACTTTCTCGAGCACCCGAATGGTCCTTTTCCATGGAAAGGCCTCTTGGGCAGAAAATGTGGCCTGAGAAGGGCAGTGAAGACTCAAACTGACTGCTTTGACCAGGGATTCCAATATAGCTTGTAGGAATAATTTCCCAGGAAAGGCCCGCAAAACGTCTTCTGAGAACCAACCCTACCCTAGAGTTGATCACTCGTGCTCGTCGCGATCCTATCTCTATTCCTGCCAGGTGACCACCAGAAGCTTTTTCCGCTAAGGTTCTTAGAACATTCAGAATGGAAACAGTATGCCCTGGGCTCCTTGGACATGGGCTCAAATGTGCCAATGGAGCGAAGGATGGATGGCGAACGGAGCGAGGGGAAGGATGTGGTGGCGATTGCCTCGTTGTTCATGAGATATTCCTTTTTGTACTCTCTCTTCTTTTCGGCCTTCGCTGGCTCTGTCATGAGATCAGTGCAGATCCTAGGCTCACTACCGTGATTTCGTCGAGGGGAGCACGCAACATTGTATGCGTGTCTGTAATTTGGGACCCCTCCGGTTGTCTCTTTCAGATCTGAGTGACATCTCGGAGGACTTTTTCGGCTATCCGAATGGTCTTTTTTCACGGAAAAGTCTCTTGGGAAGAAAATATTGCATCACATTGATCACTGCTCTCTGGAGCAGCCACGTGTTGCGAAGTTTCCTGTCCAAATTCCATAAAACCAAAATACCACACCATGCCATGACCACAATTTGCGGTTTCCATGAAGATTCTTGTAGCTTTTCCATGACCACAACTTGATTCGGAACCATTACCGATTAATTCATTCAACCTATTCACGGTAATACAGAAAAAAGAAACCAGAAACTGAAGTCTACATCAACCTAGAGAGATTCACATGATGGCAGATCATATTTACCTGGGCATCATCGTGCTCTTCATATCTCCGTTCGGAATTTTGCAAAATAGTGCATAGTAAACCAATGCACAACGCAATGACGCAGAAGCGTGCACTTAAGTGGATGACTTTGATGGTCCTCTCTCGCACAGTGGGTCGGCGTAGCACTGAAAAGTACGTAAATTTATTATCAGACGGTTCGAAAGCATTTTGCTCTTTACCATTGCGTCAACGCAGGATCGTTTATATCTTGTCACCTTTAGTCGCATGTGAGGTCCGCTTGCTGTGTCTGGACGTGACAAGTAAGCATACATAGCGTTCGTGTGTAACTATTCTAGACACGCAAGGTGTTGCATTAACCATTTTCAGACAAGTGTATAGCCTTCATTCGTGTTTAACCAGTAAACAATGTTGTCGCAAAGATGTGCAAACAGAGGGTGGTCGTTAACGGCATATCAGGAAAGCAATTCGGATATTCGATTCCAGTGAAACTGCTAAAAATCACAGAGCTGACAACATACGTAAATGGAAACACAGACTGACCACACTAAAAAGGCATGTCAAATGAACTACGGTATTTACCATTCGTTACAGATGCATTACATATTTTTTCAAGCTGCTAGCTTGTTTTGTGCATGCTCTGACATCAAAAGCAATGATTGTCGCAAATACAACTTTACAAAAAGCAGCATATATATTGATTGGCCGACTTGTTTGAATGAAAAGATACGAATGTGCATGACGCAAATGTGTAAAAACATATACCCCAGATTCTAGAACCAAGCCGGTTCTTCAGCTTACCGTATTCGGGCTCCATCATCAAGTGTCAGTGAATGACTCCTCTTGATGCAGTGATGTAAATAAAATGCGATATCATTTCAGGCATGATTAAGTCCCCAAAACTGCATCTGTGCCTTTCACGCATGATACTTGGGAGCATAGTGTCATCGGGACAGACCATGGCATACGCTCGTAAATTTACCGGCTAATTGGCATTTCATTGACGCTGGGATCTGTTACATTCTGATGGAGTTAAAGGCAGAGAAACGGAGCGACTCTGTGCCAGTTTCGTCATAAGTGTGATCAATGTGATGTGCGCGCCAGGTTCGTTGAATTTCGTAGTAAAGACGCATTATCTAACACAACGTATTCTCATGCCTTTTTGTGCTACGAACCTCCCACTTAATTACTGTGGTGGGATTTTTCGGCTTCCACGAAGAGCGCAGTATACGTGTGTCTCCAATAGTATTTTCCAATTAGGTAACTAATAACTGATTATGTTAAACTTGAAATGATGATGACTAGCTGATCGCGGATTTTCCACCCAACTGAACTCAGCTTCTTAGGTTCAGCTTCGGAGTTGTCAACACTCCAAAATGCCTCTCTTTGGTATGATTGAAATGTGCAAAAACCTGAACCCGCTTACAACTTTTTGCAGTGCCGAGCCTGCTGTTCGTTCGAGTTTAGTTGGTTCGAAGGCCTGGTCGTTCATCATAGGCTTTCACTTTAAGTTCCATTTACCGCATGGTGCTATAAGTTGCATTTCAAACTTTTATAGGGTGGTGTTGCGTCCACGGCTGGTAAGGCATCTGTTTGCTCCAAAGACGAGATATATGAACTAACTGCAACTCTTTCCGACATGCATAAAAATCAGGGGTCCTTGCACCGTGAGGTAACAACAAGAATAACTATGACACTCTTATTTAAGAGCGTCCTTTGGTTGAAGAATGACATATTTTATGTCTTTTATACACTAAAGCCGCCTTCAAATTTTAAGTGTTTCATATATCCGAGACTAGTTGGCATGTGAAAGCTTTTATGATAATTGTGTTATCTTGCTGCAATTAGCACTTAGACGTGGTTGCGACTTTCTCCTATTTATGTGCCTTTTAGCATTCGTACTTAGAGCATGGCAATCAAAGTTCGAGCGCAGCTAACTGAATCAACAGAGTATGCTGAACGCGGCTGTACTTCTTACGTCCGAAATATGTTGGACGTAGGATGCAGCAGAAAAGCTCATCGCTTAACAACCTTTCGGCGTGAGCGAAATGATTTGCGTGTTTGCGGCTGTTTCAGCATCGCTGAGGCACAATGCTGTTGGTGCTACGGCACGGTAATGTGAGCCGTTTTTATGAACCCAATATTCCTTGAGGAGGGGTCTTGAATTTATTCCTTTCTTGAGTCGTCCTTATCTTATGATGACCTCATGTAGGGATGAGAACAACAGCTGCTACAGTAAGGGGGAGAGAGAGAGAGAGAGAGAGAGAGAGAGGGGGGGGGGGAGGGAGAGAGAGAGAGTCCTAAGAGCAGGGCCTACGCCAAGAAGTGGTTGTTCTGTGAGCCCACCCCTCACGGGTGTTGATTTGCATTATTTTGTGAGGGCCTCTCCCCCCCCCCCCCCCCCAATGTTTGCTTGGCCCCACTAATATTTTTGGCTGGAATGCTAAAAAGAGGGTAAAAGATGACCATAACACAAATACTATCTTCTTTGATCTGTCTGTGTAGTGGCGTCTCGTGCCACTCTTGTAACAAAAAGTCATGGTTACTATCACCACGAGATACAAATCGTAACAGCTGAGCGGATAAACCATGCAATAAACTTCACATACCTAGCGCCGCAAGACATGCAATGGTTTGTAAAGCTAAAGTGAAAGCTCTGGAATATGGGAATGACCTAAGCTCTTCATGGCTAACCCAGTCTCCGTCCCCCTCGAGCAAACTGCGTGCCGCCTGCCATGACGGCCACCGAAGAGCGCCATCGGCGCCCTAAGGTGGCCTCTAAAGGGGCGCCTTTACGTGCCGATCAGAAGAGCCGTCTGCGTCGAGTGCCTGCTCCCTGGATACAACCCTGCATGACTTCTATGCTGCTTCAATTAAATACTTTTATAAATTATTTAAGGTGTGACTTGAGGTGAAAAGCAATTCATTGCATTCAATCAAAATAAAGAGGGCTAAATCCGGCGAGACCAAACGGGGGAGGTTGTCGGCCTTTGTTTCGGCCCCCCTATAGTTCATAAAAATTGAGGCCCCTGCCCCCGCCCCCTCCACTATTGAAATGAAAAATATGAGGCTAGCGGCATAATTTGGCGCCGCAGGGCAGCCCAGTTCAGGGCATCCTGGCACAGGGCATCCCAGTCGAGATCAAATTGCGAACGCCAAAAGCGCCTCGAAACCACCCCGCCAAGGACAAGTGAATCAGAGGGTAGGCGCCTTAACCAACTGAGCTATCGGGACGGATGAAGTTTTGTGGCTGAGGGTTTCGGAAAAGGTATGGCGAAACAAGCTATGTTGGTCGCCAAATATCATTGAAATCAAGGACAACGCTTCATACAAAGTGGGGATTTTGGGGAAAATATGGCAAAACAAGTTAAGTTGGCCATCACATAACATCAAACTCAGGGACGGCACTTACTACAAGGGTTAATTGCGGCTTGTCAGCTTGTGGTGGCTGGTCGGCTGGCGAATGGTGTGATGAGATGATGGCTAATGACTAATGCGGATATTTGTCTTGGCTATCATGAAGAAGACCGAGACCATTTTGGAGGGTTCCTGGGCAGGGCTCCAGAATATTCCGGCAGGTTAACACATGCCCTCCTCACTTCCACCCAGCAAGAGCATATAGCCTTTCGGTCGAATGATGAGCATACTTGCAGGGCCCCTGATTGAGCAAGAGTGCCCCGGGAAATTAGCATAAAAGGTGTTTTAATCTGATAAAATAAGGTATTTAGTGGCAGGTAAAACATTCACAAATAAGTCAAGCAGTTTGAATGCCTGCTTTTATGTATTCCTGTCTCTCAGTTTGACACGTCATATATGACAGGGCACACGGATACCCTTGCGCTATTAAATCGTGTCACCCGTTTTTTATTTTGTTTTTCTTCTGCTATCCTTCTGCTCGGCTACATTTTGCTCACTGTCTGTGCTGCTGCCGACGTTTCACCTCTTATCTGCAGCAGCCGTGCATGGGAGCCTGGTTCGTAGGTGTCTTCCCATGAGGAGGAGAGCTGGTGGTATGTCTGTTGCATCTATCGGAGTGGCTGGCGAGTTTAACCGCGTCGGGTGCGGACCACGCTGCTGTACTACCCGTTTAGCAGTTGTCACTGCGCGTTCCGCCGCGCCGTTAGTTGAGTGTGTGCGAACGACCAGACAGTCTGTGGGTAATCCATATGCCGTTGTCAACTCCCTGCATTCAGGCGCTGCGAACTGTGTTCCTCCGTCAGAGCTCGGCATAACAGAAATACCGTTAAGAGATTGAGAAGGCCTTCAGAATTTGTGGTTTGAGGGAGCTCTTGTATCTCTAGGCAGCGACTCAGGATACCCGCTGTAACTAAGCAAGCCCTGCCGTCGTGGGAGAAAATGTCGCACGTTGCGACGTGCGACCATTGAGTTATTGGTACTACTGACGGCAAAAGCGGCTGCCTGTATTGTGTTGGCGCCTTCCTCTGCCAGAAGGTGAAGTACTCCTTCAGTTCTTTGGGCATGTTCGGCCACCAAACGCTGTTACGCGCGCCGCGCGCGCTCGTCACACTTGCTGAGGCCGAAATGGCCGTCATCATGCAGCTTGTTGAGGATATCCCTCTGTAGCGTCGCAGCAATAAGTCGCTGTCCATTCATGTTAAGCGGCCCAAATGCCATGTGAAGGATGCTCGGTTGACCGTTTCTGCACGTAAGGAGGAGCCAGGTTTTCGTCTTTGGCTGATTCTTGCCAGCCGTGCACAATCTGCTGTGCCACTTGCTGTGAAACGGAATCTTCCTGCTGCGTCTTTATAATTTTCACGAGCCTCTTTGGAGTTGCAGGCAAGTCTCTCATCACACTGACGCAATGCTGAGGTATCTCGACTTCGCGCATCCGCGTATACTGGCACCTCGACGGCGGCTCAGTCACGCTCTTGATGTTAATGAGCGGAGTCAGCGCTTTGTGATCCATTTCCAACTTAACTTTCGAAAGTCCACTGAGAAACGTGCGAAATTTCGGGCGAGTCCACGTTACTGCCAATGGCTCTGTTTCGACTTGTGCCATCGGCTCTCGACATTTGATAGCGTGCGGCTGCAGGATGTCGCCGGCTGGAGTCGCTGGCCGCGACGCTCCAGTATGCAGCCACCAATCCCAAACCAGCTGGCGTCAGCGCTGACAATGGTCTCCTTCCCGGGATCAAATAACGCTAGGATTGGCGCGTTGGAGGTTAACTGCTCCATCAGCGCTTGCTGCTGAAGATGAGCCCACGTCCAGACGGCTTCGTTCTTTGGGAGGTCGTTCATTGGCTTCAGTTTGGACTGGATATACTTATTAAATCGGCGAAGGTAGTTGATCATTCCTGAGACCGCAGCTTCAATGTCAATGTTCGAATGACCAAATTTAATTTTAAGTCAAAACGAGCAAAGCGAGCCAGCAAGATGCCCGGGACATTTTAGCCATCCGAAGGGCTCGACGTTGCTAGCCCTCAGCACAGGTCAGTCTGGAGGAATCGTTTTTAAAGGCACAGACTAGCATCGAACCTCCACAAAGAAGAGGGCGAGGTACAAAAATCGGCACAGGGTCTACAGCGTGGAACCCGAAGCCGAACATGTCATCCAATCATTGGTTATCAGAATAGATGAAGCGCCTTATTTGACCTTTAGAAGGTTATGGTGACAATTATCATGACGGTGACAAATATCAATCTTGATTTTTACGTTTGAATCAGCATCAAGGATTACGGTAGTTGGTATGTTCCTGAAAACAAAATGATGACTTGGGTCATTTTAGGTCGTTGGCTTACTCTGACCTTTATGAAGTTTACGGAAGATGTATAACATGGTCCATATTATCGATACACTCAAATGAGCAGCCGAAACTACTTCAAGGCAGGCTTTAGAGGAAAAATAGGTTGCTTTTTACCTTGGTCTGACCTTCATACGTGACCATAGGTCAATGGAATTTGCAAATGCAATTGTCGTGTTGCCTAAGAAACTATCTCAGAGATGTATGGCTTCGTCTAACACTTCGTTGTTGCAGCTAATTGAACGATTCCCTAAAAATCATCTTCGCTGAATCCATGCCTTGACTGCGACCTGTCGTAGGCTAGCGACCTTACTGGGTAAATTATAATTGGTGATAAGTGATACTGACGAGTTGGTACTTACTTCTCCGCGACGAAGCTTTTATTTGACAATTCCTGTAACGCAAAAATGTTAACGACTAATTCTTTTCCCGTGACAAAACCTCTCATACAAAACCGCATGTGCAGCATTCCTTCGTACGCAGAAACGCCTACCGTATAAAACTCAACGCGGCTGAATTGAGACAGAAGTACCTGTTGAGTATTGCTTATGCGAACACAACAACCAGAGTCAAGATTTGGTTTTCAAGTTAGGAGGCAATGGTTGAACAAAAGCAGCTCCGATAAGCACTGAGGAAGCCCAATGTTCGGACCACGAAGCATATGCTCCGCGCTGGCGGTGCAACCCCATCGAAGTTATCCACGTTAGAAATTCGGCGGCATGGGTTTTGTTGTGTAGACGTCCATTCATGGAAGTTCTCGCATTCGAGCTAATGTCACGTGAATATTTTTGTTAAAAGCTTCGTTGCGGATAAGTGTTTGCGCTGAAAGGCAATCTTGGAAGCTTAGTGGTTAGCAGTCATAGCCTTGAAGTTCTGTCGCGGAACCCGACCAACCTGCTGTTCATTGTGTCAGGGGAAACAGACCCGCTGGTGGATCGAGCGGGGGCGACAGTCAACGATAGAGACAAAGAACCTCTCGCTTGCTAGGGCAGGCCATCTTGTATGAAGTTCCGAACTATATGTGCCACCTTTGGAGTTTACCCTCCTCGGGACTTGATGCTAGTCGACCCTTGCTGAGAGTAGGACAAGAGTGCATCAGAGATACATTGCAGTAAGTGACCCATGAACAACGTGGTGCTTCCTCGCGTGATACGAACGGTTCACGTGGCGGTCATGTTACAAAGCTACTTCTTGTGACGTAGGCAGTGACAACCGCCCACCAGCACACACACAATTTGGAAACTTGCAGGCTGAGGGGACCGCGAAAGTGGACTGTGACAAACGCAGGCGCATGCTAGATTTTTTAGCCGGTTCAAGACCAGCTCACAGATTATGGGATCCAATTCGGCTAAACTCATAGCCGTTCCAATACGTGTTTGATACAGCTCAGTTCAGACCCATTGCTTGCGTTACAGCTCTTAAGAAAAAAATGTGCCGATTTCAGCGACTAACGCGGCATGCCGTCCATCTCAGCACACTGCAATGGCATGCAAGTTTTTCGGGACGTGACGTTTTTCTTCACCATGTTACCATTCTGCTTTTACCTGTATGGCTCACCGACAAGACATTACTAGAAACGATCCGCTTACGATTCAGATAATGAAATTCAAAGAGGATGTGTTTCAGCTCATGGCTCAAAGCGGTATTTTCCTGACGAACTGACTCAGCTAGCGGCTCACCCCAACACCGTTAGGGCGTGAGTCAATGCACCAAGCTCGTGATTAAGGTCGCAACCCAATTCGTGATTTAGCTAGAGTCGAACTCAAGCCTGAACAAACGTCCAGTTAAAAAATGCTGGACAGATAACCCGCCAGCCAAATAACGCCGCCCACTTGTTCTGAATGGGGTCTTCCTCGCACGTCTTAGATCACTTGTGCGTCGTTTATTTCCAGACCACATTAATACGGCAGGGCATGCAAACATTGCGCACAGTCTTGCTAAACAAGATAGACAATAGACACACTCGGAATGCCGCACCCTCGGATAACTCCTTGGTAACATCACAGATGATACAAGCCCAGCAGTGGCGGCCGGCGGCGAGCCGGACCTGCATCGCGGCTCACGCACGCCGCGTGGCTAGATGGCCGTCTGAGGCGTGCTGGGGCTGCGACCAGGCCAGGGCGCCGGCAGAGCCGCGGCCTCGCTGAGCACGGACGAGCCTGGGGTGGCTGCCGACCAGCCCCTGTGCAGAACCCGCCGGCCGGCGGTCGATGCAGCCACAACGTCCCCGTCCCTGCCACAACGTCTCGACTAAACGCATCATTGAGACAAAACCAGGCTACAGAGATGACCCTCATATTGTCGGTAAGTGCACACCTATACAGAGCCGAGCCCAGCCGGCTCCCATAACTGATATGACATCGGCGGCGCCCGTCCCAAAAGGACATAGCAGGCGCGTGGGCACAGACAAGGTATGTACATGCATCCCAATAACGGCAAGAGGTGTGGAAAAGGCGCCGCGCCTCCAGCATCCCACCACTCGGGTGGAGCGGCTCCAAATGTCGGCGCCGCCCGAGATCCAAGCATCGTTTCAGCAGCAAACGCCGCATCACCAGTTTCGCGGGTCAAGGTCACAGATCAGCGGGCCCCACAGCACTTGAATCCCTTTTGCTCCAACCGTACATCAAGGATTGCTCCTTGGCCCTCTAACTCGACCATTCTGCGTAAAAAAAACATCAGAAAATCCACGGCATTGCCTTCTGAACGAGTGTCGCCTCCCGACAGGTGTGCCTGGTTTGGATAACGTCAGCAACGTCCACTAACGCCACCCAGAATGAATGCAAGACAGGTACGACGTAAGAAACCAAATGTTCGTAAGTAAAACCACATGGGAAAAACAGATTGTCAGAATGAAACCCTGACAAGAAAGGCAATTCATACGAGGCCATCATGATCCCGGAGGAGATGGTGCTCAACACCACCGCCGCAAGTCAACTATCAGAACAGAGCGCTGAGACTGGCACCGCCTCCCCTCCTCCCTCCCCGCCCTCCCCCCCCCCCCTCTCCAGCGCTCTGTCGACCAGCTGCGCTGCTGCACCTTCTGACTCCCCCACGACCCGCAGACGGCCTTCACAACCCCTGACCGGCGCCGGCGGGCGACCGTGCACGACCCCACACCATCCCGCGCCGCCCGGCTGTCGCCCGCCAGCTCTCTCGGCAGCCGGGACACGTCAGCGAAGCACCAGTGTTGCGCGGGCGGGGCAGGCGGGTCCAGACGCCGCCGCGCCGCGGTTACGGCGCCCTGATTTTCAAATTTTGGTGCGCATGATTTTTTACGACGAGGTGCAGGTAGCCTGATTGTCCGGTCCAAAGCGTAAGCCTGTGATTTAACCTTGCGCCAGAGCACGCCACAAAGAGTGCCGGGAGAGCAGCCACCACTCCGACGAAACCTGCCACGATCTCGGAAGTGTGTCCAACGGGTCGACGCGGCTACAGGCGCCGGTCGGACGCGCCGCGTCGCGACCGCCGCCGCCTCCCGCTCGGCACCAGGCGTCGCCGCCCGGCGGACGGTAGTAGGGGTCGAGGGTGGCGCCGGGTCGGACACGCCGCGTCGCGACCGCCGCCGCCTCCCGCTCGTCACCAGGCGTCGCCGCCGCGCGGACGGTAGTAGGGGTCGAGGGTGGCGCCGGGCCGGATGCGGAGCCGGGGCGCGGCGCCGCCGACGCGCTGTCGCCAGGGGTTGAAGTCGTGTTCTCAGGCGGTCTGCGAGTCGACCGACTGGGAGTTGGTGAGCAGCCTGTAGCAGGGCCGACAGACGGGCGCCGGCGAGCCCTGCAGGTGGCCCGGCAGCCGCTGCCACCGGTCCAGGCAGCGCTGGCAGAAGATGTCGCCGCACCGCCAGCAGTGGAACTGCCCGGCCGGGCGCATGGTCAGCTGGCACGCTCGCCACGCCCCTCCCCCCCCCCCCTCCCTGCATACACACCTCACCTCATGCGGACATGTGGACACCGGCACAGTGCGAACTTCCCACACAAATGTGGATTTCGTGTGCGACAGAAGCGGCAGTCGATGAACCAGCGTTTTGATTTCAGGGCCGACTTTTACCTAATACGAGAGCACACCGGCTAAGCTCCACACAACAAATGCTTCATCGCCGTTAAAAGGTTTGCGATCTTTACAACAACGCTACACACTAGTTGGTGCATATGCGTTATGCGTTAGCCATTGTGGTAGGCCAATGAGGTACCCAGTAGTCATATCCGTGCCCAGTCGGCAACGGATCTATCCAGTTACTCCACGGCGGCACCGGCATTAGCACTAGCACCGGCACTGGCACTGGCACTGACTCTGACAACAGCACCGGCACCGGCACCGGCACCGGCACCGGCACCGGCACCGGCACCGGCACCGACACTGGCACTGGCACTGGCAACAGCACCGGCACCGGCACTGGCACTGGCACCGGCACTGGCACTGGCATTGGCACTGGCTCTGACAACAGCACCGGCACCGGCACCGGCACCGGCACCGGCACCGACACTGGCACTGGCACTGGCATTGGCTCTGACAACAGCACCGGCACCGCACCGACCCAAGCGTGGCGGTCGGCGCCCCCCTCACCTTCTTGCTGAAGTGGTCGAATGAGGTGGTGCAGCTGCACTCGCGTACACCCCGCGGCGAGACCCAGTCGACGGCCACCGAGTCCAGCTCCCGAGTCAGCTGATCGACGCTGAGCGGCGGCAGCTGGAGATTGGCGTTCACCTGTCGACCCGGCCACGGTCACCGCCGGCCCGGCGAGGTCACCGTCCAGCCCAGCACAGACAATGCCAGTCAAACAGTCACTTTGATCTACCGCCCAGGCATTCCGATCAAAAACAATGAACAAATATTTGCAAGCAAAAAAACGGAGGAATGAATCCTTCCGACATCTAAAACCAATAGATCGGCAGCACCCAGGTTAAATTATTAGCAGACGTGTACAATCGAAAGAGTAGCATCAGCTGTAAAATGACATCAAATGACATCGCAGGCAAACTGAACAAACTGAGGTAAACCGGGCGGGTTAGAGGCAACCCAATCCTACGGTTCTCTTTTGTGAAACGCGCGCATTCATCAGCCAAAATCCACACTCAGTTTGCTTGCGTCGTAAATGTTATCGTTAAGCCATGCCCCGGCCGGTAACCATGGGGTTTATTTTCACGCAATGCACGATGCCCCTCTTTAGCCGAGCACACCTTGGGCATATCCGTTTGCGATCTGATGGTATTAGATGTATATGAATGCATCCGTCTGTGGTGCGCTGCTTCTTGTAGACTGAAAGCTACCGCAGTTTCTACGATCAGATGATAACAATACCATAAAAAACGCGGACAACCGCTGATCCCATGTCCACTAGTCAGCTAAATGTGGGCTTTACCTCTAGTCCCACGCAAAAACAACCCACCGATGTATTCGATCACACAATCACAACATAAAAAGGAGCCCTACAATTAATGTAAAATTTTCCCGAGTTTTTACGTCACAGTTTTCTCATCATGTTTGAAGGATCAGGATCAACAGCTTCTCTCCAGAAAAAAAGCAGCTGGCTGATCGCAACAAGAGGCTTTCTCAGATAACCAATTTAAAATGCGGGGCTGGGCTTTGTACTGCAGCGCCGTGACGCGAATGTTGCGCCGCAAATCGCCGCCCTCGTGATTCGTGACCAAGTCATTCGCCGTCACTCTAACTGGCCGGCTCTAAAAGATGGCAATACCCGCACCCCACGCACCACCGGCGTCGGTGCAGGCCATTGCCAGAGGGCACATTTGCCCGGTAGGCTGGGCCGGGCCGACCTCACCTGGTCGTTGCTCGGTAGGCTGGACCGGGCCGGCCTCACCTGGTCGTTGCTCGGTAGATTGGACCGGACCGGCCTCACCTGGTCGTTGCTCGGTGGGCTGGACCGGGCCGGCCTCACCTGGTCATTGCTCGGTAGGCTGGACCGGGCCGGCCTCACCCGGTTGTTGCCCGGTAGGCTGGACCGGACCGGCCTCACCTGGTCGTTGCTCGGTAGGCTGGACCGGACCGGCCTCACCTGGTCGTTGCTCGGTGGGCTGGACCGGACCGGCTTCACCTGGTCGTTGCTCGGTAGGCTGGGCCGGGCCGATCTCACCTGGTCGTTGCTCAGTAGGCTGGGCCGGGCCGGCCTCACCTGGTCGTTGCTCGGTAGACTGGACCGGACCGGCCTCACCTGGTCGTTGATGTGGCGCCGATCGGCCAGCTTGTCAGCAGTGGCGGCGCCGTCGGCGCTCTCGCCACTCTCCGGATCGGCGTTGTTCAGTCGACTCTCCAGCTGGCCTATCCGCTGCAACGCGCCGCGAACGGTCACGCACGCGGCGTCGGCCCGGAGCGTGCCGACAGCTCGCACGCCTGCCCCTTCCCCCCCCCCCCCCCCCCCCGGGCCACCAGCAACAGCAGGCTGGTCACACGCCCGCCTGGAGCGGCGACGGCGGCCGCCCGCCCCGGGTCCCCACACGTCTGCAGCCCCGGGCCACAAGAAACAACAGCAGGCTGGCCACACGCCCGCCTGGAGCGGTGACGGCGGCCGCCCGCTCCGGGCCTCCACACGTCTGCAGCCCCGGGCCACAAGAAACAACAGCAGGCTGGCCACACGCCCGCCTGGAGCGGTGACGGCGGCCGCCCGCTCCCGGTCTCCACACGTCTGCAGCCCCGGGCCACAAGAAACAACAGCAGGCTGGCCACACGCCCGCCCGGAGCGGCGACGGCGGCCGTCCGCTCCGGGCCGCAACAAATGGCGTCCGATCGAGCCGAACCCAGGACGAAGCTCCCCTACCGGCCCCATACAGACAAGCGCACTGCTCTCCAGGCGGTGGCTATAGCAGACGCCGCCGTGTCCTGAGGTCGGCACGCCTGAAAGCCTAATCTCTACACAAACGGACCGCAGACCTCGAGTCAGCGACGGCAGACCCGACCACTAACTTATCCTACCCACGGGCCAGGGACCCTGATCCATCACGACAGAGCCGCCGCCTACCTTTTCGAGCAGGCGGATATGGTCCCGCATCGACTGGTTGTGGTCCGACAGGTAGTTGGCCACCTCCAGCAGGCACTCGCGTGGATGCACGCCGAACTCGAAGCGGGAGTACATACCGCGCCAGAACCTGGCCAGCGCGCGGCGAACGGGCACGTGAAGTTAGCTGCTTGTTATCGGTCACGGTACGGTCCTGCGCTCCATCCGGAGAGGCACCAATATGGCAGCACGACGACAGAGTCGTGCATAGATTTTCGTCCCAGTAGCTTTTCTTTTAACTTAGTCACAAGAATTGCCTCCTCAACTGGCAACTGGATCTGACAACCTCCAAAACAAACGTTGGTTACATGGACGTTGACGGGCACTTTCCAGCCTCAGTATTAACGACGAAGCACGCGACTTTGACCAGGAGCGCAGCAACATCCGACTCAAAGCGCATAAGAGCAAGACCCAAGCCCCGCGGGGGCGACGCTCGCCGCCGACGACGCTCGGTTGGCGGCACGCCAAACCACGCCTCCGAGCACACGCTCGCCCCACCCGGGGCCCGCGGTCTGCAAAGCCAGCGGACACTCACCGGACAACCTGGGGCGGCAGGCCGACCTTCAGCGCGCCCGGGAAGCGCGTGGGGTCGAACAGCGCGTTGGTGTACTCGCTGAGGTGCTGTGCCGTGAGGCCCCACAGTGAGTACGTGCGCTCCGACAGCCTGAGGCAAGGCAACAACGGCAGCGTCAGGAGGGCCAGCGTTCTCCGGGGGTTCTCTTGGAGATCTGGAGGGGGAACACCGTGCATGTGGAAGGCGCGGGGTAAACGAAGACAAGGTCGGAGGCCAATGCCCCACCAAGTACGTTAACAAGCCCATGTCAAAGACTTTCGCCGCCGTCCGGAAGTGAAGCGTTACTTCACTTGCGGTCATTCTCTCAGCAGCGAGCTCGGCGGCGTTTCAACCCATACACCCCGCGTCCGGCCGCCGGCCGTGTCCCGGGTTCCGCCGGCGGGGCAGGCCACGCCTGCCGCCGGGCCCTCGACCGCCGTCACCCGCTGCCGACTCACCGCAGGTCCTGCCGGTCCTTGTGACAGTTGCCGATGAACGTCCCGAACTGGCACGAGAACACGTGGTCGTGCAGGGTAAGCAGGTACCGTTCGTTGAACTGGAACGCCTGGGGCTGCAGCTGGCTCAGCTGCCACACCGCATCTGAGGCGGAGGTGGACCACAGCTGCTGACTCAACTCGACACTGACTTAACACAGGGTTGGAGATGGACTACAGCTGCTGACTCAACTCGACGCTGACTAGGCACGCGGTCGGAGTTGAGCTACATTTGCTGATTCAATCCGGCACTGAACACAACACACCCACACTCACACCCACAACACACCCACACCCCCTCCCCCCCCACACACACACCCACACCCACACCCACACCCACACCCACACACATACTAGACACTCGACACCGACTGACGCAGGGTCACGGTAGGACGTCAGCCGTCAGAAGCGGAGGTGGAGCATGACACGGATGTGCCAGCTGCGCACAAGCCGAGACAGCGGGACTCGGTTTTGGAAGGACACGACAACAGACAGTGGCCGGGCCCCACGCTCCTGTAGCGGGGATCTCGCAGTAGGACATATAGAACAACAGGGAGCAGCGCTTAGCCGTCACAGGTAACAATCACGACACTGAGTCACGATCTCCGCAATGTGCACCCACCGATGAACTGCGTGAAGATGGGAGAGATCTCCTTGGGGTCCTGCTGGATGAAGCCGCAGCGGTCCGTGAACTTGTGACCGTGCGCCAGCCAGCACTTCTCGATCAGAGCCTGCCGGGCGGCGGAGGCCAGAGCCGTCAGAGCTGGCCGCCGCTCACGGAAGGCACAGCCCAGCCCACCGAGCGGAAGAAAACAGCACACATACGTGCAGTACGACGCACACCAATGTGACAAAACAAGCCCAAGGCCTGTGGCAGACTGGTCTCCCTGCAATAGGGTCCGATCGTTGTAAGCCGCCAGTCCAGGGAGACTGGTCTGGCTTTGCCGAGGGAACCGCCAGCTGTGCCCCGGCTGCCGCGGGAGCGGTGGCGGGCGGCGAGCGCCATCTGCCGCTCACCTGGAAGCCGTGGATGGTGCGGTAGTAGGGGTCGAGCAGCAGCTCGGCGAGCGCGCACGTCTGCGAGGTGCGGTCCCAGCCGTCGCTGCAGTGCACCAGCACCGTCACGCCCTGTTCCACCGAGGCGGCCACGAACTGCGCCGCCTCCAGCGTCGAGCGCACGTGCCGCAGCCAGCCGCTCGACTCCAGGCCCGACAGGAACGTCGACATGGCCGACGTCTTGCTCTCGCAGGCTGCCGGGTACGCGGGCGGGGGCGGTCAGCGGCGGCGGCGGCGGCGCCGCGGGGGACGGTCGCGGCCGGCGGCATCCGGCGCCAACATGGCAACCGTCTGGCAACGATGCATTGTCACGACTCTGACGAACGGGATGTCACCTGGGAGGTACGCGACCCTGGTGGAGACTTTGGTCGATTTGTGGAATACGATGATTTGATTCATCCGGACTAGTGAGGTCTTTTTGAGCCGCCAGTTTAGTGGAGTGCACAAACAAAGCATCGTAGCCTTATATTTCTTATAAAGCTGACGACAAAGACAAAACATTAGCTTCTTGCCAAGAGCTTTCAAACTATCAAACATATGGCCATATCCAAAAACGGGCACTTACTTTCCACCAGTTTATTTAAGCTATTTCGCATAACATGAATATTTTCGATGCCGAAGAAGTAGAACTTGATATTCTGGTAGAAGTTCTCGTTTTCGTAGCCTTTCCCTGACGCTCTATTTGCCATAGCGTTGATCTGCAAACCACGGGGAAAAGATAGACCAGGCTCTCATAGTCGGATGCTCAAGCAACTTCACATATCAACTGATGGCAAAAATCAACAGGAAACGGGCAAAAGGCTCGGTGAGCCTTGTGCCCGCCCGCTCCCCATCCCCCTTGGTCACGGCTCGCAAATGTGACAGGAGAACACGCAACCCAAGATCGTGCATACTGATTCCAACCGTTCGCTCTGTATGTCCCACTAGCCTCATTACGACATACTCACTGAATTCCCCTTCTGTCAAGCGCCGCACAACAGCACACGTCATCCACGTCACACGTCATGCGCAGCATATGTCATTCACTTAACACGTCATCAACAGCACACGTTACCCACGTCACATGTCATCCGCGGCATACATCATCCGCAGCACATGCCACCCACTTCACATGCCATCCACAGCACACGTCACCCACGTCACATGTCACCCGCAGCACATGTCACGCACAGCACAAGTCACACGTCATCCGCAGCATACGTCACCTGCAGCACACATCACCCGTGTCACACATCACCCGTTCACATGTCACCCATGTCACACGTCCCCCGCGGGCGGTTCACTCACCTTGGGCCGCGTATCCACGACATACATCAGCTTCTCTGACGGGTTGGTGCCGCGTAGCAGCTCCAGCATTTGCTCATCCTCCAGACAGCGCGCCTTGAAGCCGGACAGCGGCTGACTGCACCGACAGATGCTGGCCTGCGACAGCGCAGGGCGCGTCCGGTCAGCGGCCCGGCGGCAGGCGTCCGGTCACCGGCCGCCCCCGGCGACTGCCTGACTGAAGTCTGCACGAGCAGCGCGGCGGCGACGGCATGCGCGCGCCACCAATCACGAGATCACGAGACGCGCCTCCCTGGCGCCACGTTGTGCCCACCGCGCCGAACTGGACATCTGACTGGTCACAGCACAGCGAGTCATGTTTTGTTTCGACAACTGCCAAAGGACCAGAAGCGCACGTCTTGCCCGACAACTGCCAGCGACGCACGCAGTTGATGCGGCGGTGGCAGTCAAGCGCCCACCTGATTCGAGTGTAGGTAGCTGAGCACCGGCAGGCGGCCCTTGCTTCGGAAGCGCGAGCAGCCGAGCAGGACGGCCGTGCTGGCGGCGGCCGGCACGCAGAGCAGCGACGGGTACGTGTCGCACACCTCGTATGCAGCGTTCATGTCCGTCAGCGCCCATACGTCGTTTGGTACGCCCATCCGCCTGCCGCAGGGCACGCGGCGTTCCTTACAGCCGGCCGGACGCCAGAGGCCGCCAGCAACCGGCCGTTAATTGTGATGCATGCCTCACCAAATGAGTTCCTGTGCAATGCACGCCACTGAACGCAATGACCGCGAAATGTGACACGTGGCCTTATGACGCCATGAATTATGCACGTAAACTACGTGAAAACACTTCATGATCAGCTTTAATAAGCACGGGACCGGACAGACGGCGCCACCAGGGAGCCGCCACATGATTGACAGGTCAGAGACTGGGGCGCCGGCGTGATGAGCTGGTCGGAGCCGGCACTGACCTGAATTCGTCGCTGAGGTCGTACGTGTCCCAGCCGTCGGGCTGGCGCAGCTCCGTGCTGCGCGGCGTGAAGTGGAAGCAGTACAGGTCTTCCAGTTCCACTAGAACGGCGGCGGAGCGTCAGGGTCCAAGGCCCAGCACACGGTCGAGGCGCAGTACCAAAGAACGGTGCAGAGCTGGCTGTAGGCGAGCCTCAGCGCGTCAGGCAGCAGAGAACGGCGTCACGTGCTAAGTACTAGCGAGTTCATCAAGCGCGGATGTTTGGAAGTGTCGGGGCACGCTTCAATGCCGATATCTACCAGGCGTGGCACGATCACAGCCCTTCGCCTCCACGGTCGGGCGTCCGAACACGTGGGTCAAATGACGTACCCCACAACCTCCCATCCTCATCGCCAGAAATAGAACAACTTCACGTCCAGCGAATTCAAGCGGCACCAAACGCAAATGAGCCTGCATGCACGGCGTTGAGCGCCGCCGAACCGAGGCCGGCGCCGGTGGAGCACGGCACCTGGCTGCGACAGCTGCTGCAGCGACGTGAAGATGTCGTGACAGTCGGGCTCGCGCTGAAACACGAACGTGGCCGAGCGGAAGTTCTTGCAGCGCACGAGCAGCGGCGAGCCGCCCGGCGTCAGCGGCAGCTTCTCCACGGAGCCCACGTGCATGTGCGAGATCTGCGGCGCGACCGACCGCGTCCGTCAGCAGCGCGACGCGACGCCGGAACGGCGCCGCCGGCCGCGCGCCGCTGCCAGGCACGCTGGCGCCACAACAGCCTGCAGTGGCCACGGGGTCACGAGCCGGTGAGAAACGGGGCGGGCGCGGCAACACCGACGGGAAACGCCGTGGCGCCCGACGCTATCACCAGGCGTTTGTTGTCGCCTACACGTCTATCGAAGTGAACCGTTAAAATAGCAGAATATTATCACTAACAATCTCACCAGGGTCAGTTTTACCAAACACAGCTTAGGAATAGGAACGAGGCGTGCAAGCAGGAAGCTACGTGGGAATGTCGGCGCGCCTGCGGATACGCCAGCTCACAACCCTACCTGTGATCGCATATAAACAATGGCACGACGTGGACTATCATCAAGCCCGACTGCCCTTCCCCTCCTGTCAAAGCACGCTGCACGGCTGCCTAAAACCCCCGTCCCTCGTGCCATAGCGGGCCGGCTCACCCAAGTCTCCTTCTTGTTGCGCGGGTCGACGAAGATGAGGTGGGTGGCGGTGAGGTAGAGGGTCCCCGGAGCCGGTTCCGCGGCGGTGAAGCGCTCCAGCATGCGCACCTTCTCCACCTGCGGCGCGGCGCGTCCGTTAGGCGCCCACCAGGGGCTCGCTGGGCCGGCCCGCGCATGACGCCACCGCACTGCATGGGCTCTGACCACGCGAGGCGCCTCACCTTACGCCACTGGGGTGCAACACGATGGATGGAACAGGCATGTGTGCTTGTACGACTACACGTGCGCGGCACAAAACTGTCGCACAGACCGCATTCAATTTCTTCTGTAAACAAAGCATCTATAAAAATTCAGCATTAACTCCAGGATTTAGACAAAAGAAAAGGTTAGTTGAAAAATCGTCGCATATCCGAAAAAACTATCAATTCTACCAAATTTCAGGAACAACAGCACACGTTTCCTGTGCGCACTCACTACAGCATGAAGTAGAAGTCTCCGGTGTAGTTTGCATCAGTTGTATAAACCAGCAGAGATGGACCTGGATCCCAAGGGTGGATCTAGGATCCCATAAGCTTCCATGCATATGGGATCTGGGATATTGGGGGGGGGGGGGGGCCACCAGGCACACATCTGTAGGCCAGATCGCACACTGGTAACGCCGTCAGACAGGTACGACATAGTCACCCTGGCACTGGCGACAGCGGCAGGCCACGCCCGGCGCCCCGCCCCACCCTCCGGCCGGGCAGACCTCGAGCGACCGAGCCGGCGCACCGGCCCGCCGCGAACCGGGAGCAGCGGCCCCCACCCACCTTGGGCTTCTTGATGATCTCCATCGTCTGCTGCTGGTCGCGCACCCCCGTCTCCACATCGTTGTTGCCGGGCAGCAGCTGAGACAGCTGCCGCCCGACGCCTTTGAGGAACTGGTCCACGGTGACCCCCTGCGGCCCCACCGACCCTGCGGGCAGTGGCAGGCTCGGCGTCACTGGCTGGCGCGGGCCGGACTCCGGATGCTCGCTGCGTGGCGCGCCTCACACTCCTGCTCCCTCTCTCTCTCGCTCTCTCGCTCTCTCTCGCCCTCTCTCGCTCTCTCTCTCTCTCCCTGACTAGCTTGAAATAAGTGATTTAAAGATTCCAGTTGAAATTGTACTGAAAAGGTTGGAGTCAGATGTATTTCTACTGTGCCTCGATGACAAGAGACCCCATTTATGCGAACTGTGCACCTCAAACAATATTATGATGCTCAGCAACAATGGAAGCAGGGCTGTCATTCCTGGACAAGGCCCATAGGTCACAGACTTCAGGTAGTGACCCATTTCTGTGGATCTTGCAGTTCAACCTGTAGCCATAACTGATCACAAAGAACATAATTTCAAGCTATTTCTAGGTGTGCTATATGAAAATAACAGATAATAATCAGCTCCTAACCACTCACCACATGGTTTGATTACAAAACATGAAATGTCAGCCACCTTCAACAAAAACTCCATTAGTGGTCATCCCTAACAAAGTAAAGCAGCTATAACACATGGTCTTCTGGCACTGCTCACTGTTCTTAATGGACAAGGCATTTCATACATTTTTTTTCTCATTATCCATTAGCACATTTGGTTCTCCACCTTTAACACTTTTAATGATTATGTGAAGCAAGAATGAAACATGGTGTGCATTTTTTGAACTTCTTGAGCAACAGATGCAAATCATTCAACAAATCACTTATCTTAACAGGCCACAGATATCTGTCATGGTGGAACAGCAGACATGGGTTCTATTAAAAGGGCCTATCCCAGTAAGGCACACATGTGTGAGTCATGTGAATAGTCCAGGGCAGAGTCAGCCAAGAAGGAAGAAGCATATTTGACATGGAGGATCTCTTGATGACAACAAATACTCCAGCCAGCACCCACAGGCAAGCCAGGTGGTGAAAACTGTCAATGTCAAAGCTGCCCTGAAGGGAGACCAGAGAGTCAAATTCACAAACAGGGGCTGGGAGATGTCTATCACTGCTGTTTACTGTAGCATCACTCAGTAGGCCCTACAGCATACAAAGGGGTCACATAAGTCACACTTCAGTAAAAATAAAATAGCAAGATGCGAGGGTGAGAGCTGTGCTGAAGCATAATGATGTAATAATTGGGGGAAAGGACAACCATAAAGAGGTCATTTGGAGCAACAAGGGACCAACACACACCCCACAAATCACCAGAAAATGGCTTCTGATGAGGCAGCCTTCATCTGCACACAAGATAGCATGCCCACTCACATGCCACAGAGAGCCCAATGGTGGCACTAATGGACCCATCAGTGATCCTGGGACAACAGTTCCAGGGTCTTCCTGACCATATCTCCATAAAAAATATGCTGGAAATCCTGCAGGCATATCCCAAAAAGATGAGCTACTGTGAGAGGACCTTGAAGCTGGCAGCACTGCTGCAAAAGGAGTAGGTGGCCATTTTACACTCCATGCTCAGCTAGTTGGCAGAAAGGGGGCCAATGGGACTGCCAACTATGTCAGATAAAATAGGGAGAGCAGCAGTATATGGGAAAAAACTAAATGTCATGCAATGCCACATGGATGTGTGCTTTTTGGTGCATGCTATACCATCCTATCATAGCAAATGGTTGCAAACCTTATGTTAGAAATTATGCCTCAATGAAGTGCTGCTGAGCAGCTAGTAAATAACTAAAGAAATCAAAATATCTTTCTGATGATTTTACACACTCATAACCTCAATGTGACAATTCTGTCCAGCAATTACACAGAAATAAGATGTGCACACATGATACTGGTAGTGAGTTTTTGAAGTGTGATCAATTATTGAACCATATGGCAGTGTATCTGGTAACATTATATGGGTCTGCCTCATTCAGGACACATCAAAATTATCCTGATATTAAACTATCAACTAGGCCAGTACTTGGTGTGTATTCTATCTGATTCAGCATATTCAGTATATATTCATTTCAGTGATAATTTGTGTATGTTGCAATCATTTTGACTAGCAGCAATCATAAATATGTTTTTTTGCAGACTGGACAACTAACAAGTGTACCTAAGTATTTGCCAATACATATGATACAGACATGCAGTGATAAGGGCATGATAAAGACAGTGGAAAATATGCTGTACTTATGCATAATATGGAAATTTCTTCATCCATATTGCAATCATTTACTTGAACTGCATTATATTAAATGGTCATGTCTCCACATTCATAACATTCTAAACAAGTAAGAGACAATTAAATTGCATACCTGCTTATGTTTTGCATAAATCATCTATGACCTAAGAAATAGTGCCAAATGTATAATTCATAGTAATAGTCAGGAAAACTTGCTTGCATTTCATAAAATGCAATTAGTCAATCCCACATTTCTTATATCTGTAACTCTTTAACAGTTCTTTACTAGCCTCATAAAGTGAACTGTCAGCCATCCTGCAGATAATGGTAGCTTGGGAAGTATGGTACATTCAGGATGCCAAAGCACCTAGACACCTGAAATCCCCCATAGTTCACAGGCTGTTTGGGCAACACATTTGCAGACATATGTGCATGTTCAAAACATTTAGAGCTAAGCACAGTCAATGAAATTTATGCTTCATCATGAAATATCCTTCCATCAAAATAACCACAAAAATATTTATGCTCAATCAAACCTTGTGTTACCCTGCAACCATGCTCACCTTTTAGCAGACAATACAGTCCAGCTTGAAAATGCATGGCAAACAACATTTTCAAACATCAAGATGGAACTTAATGTACACCACAACCAATACACACAATAGCAAATCGCATCCATATAACACACAAATGTCACTGAATAACCAGATAGCACACTAAGAAACAAACAGCCCAAAAAGCATTGAGGCTAGGAGTAGCTCACCTATATCTAGGTTCAACCTGTCAACCAGAGGGAAATCTTCCCGTGGATGAATTCAGGCGTTCGGCGCGTGTCTCGTATGGTCAAATACTTCCAGACCTTTTCGGACTTTACCACAAAGGACGCCGCTTATTTACACTCACGCAACAATGGCACGATGTGCCAAGGAGCTCAGCCACCTACACCGTCCCCAACCAAATCCGAAATGAACTCTAGATCGTCGGTCCGCGCGAAATCGATTCACTCTCCGAGACCGCGGAAACCCGCGTCTACGAACACTGCGTACCAGACGGTTGCAGAAGTGACGCCCCTGTGCGCATTGTTTGCGTATATCTGGAAGCATCAGCAGTCAGCTGAATCAAATGTCTGGAGACTTTCTCTCCCCAGACTTTCCAAGAGTTTCTCGGGCTACGGTCGATCCACCTAAGCCGCAGCACTGCAATATCGCATATGTTGTGTTGGTATAAACCTTACTCTGTAATGCAAAATCAGAATCGCGTAACGTGGCAAAAAGTTGGCAAGCGAGTCATTCCGCCTATGGCGCCACGCAAGGGCGTTTCCAGTTTTGCCGTTCATGTGCGGGTGGGGCGCTGTTTGGAATCGAGAGAGCTGGAACCATCCACCCCCCTCACTGGCGACGCCCATGGATAAACGACCTCTGTTTGGTCACATTATGACATTAGACGAAGAAACGTTTAAAAAAATGGGCGTGACAAACCCCATTTCGCGAACGATTTTTTCATACAGCGCCATAGCGTGCATGGAAGGTGGGGCTAATGCCCTGCCTCCTCGGAAAGTGAGGGTGCGCGACACCTACGGACCGTACAAATTCCAACTCCCCTGGTTGTGACACTGAATTGCGCGATGGCATTAAAATCCCGCCCTACTCGGGTTTTTTCAAGTCTGACTGCAGTGGCATTCGACAATGGACATTTCCGGTGGTGACTGGCAGAAAATTCTAGCTGACACGTTATCTTCCACGGCAGCATGGTCTGCCACGTCCGGGATCGTCGGAGCAGGGGTCAAGCATGTTGTGGATAAGACACTAGCAGCACAACTGGTGGCACCGCTAGAACGGTCTTCGAGCTGGCAGCGCAGACTCCCCCGCTGCCGCTGTTTCCCCGCCGCCTGTTCGAATATAATGAAGACCGTTACCAGTGCGACACTATCAATGCCTAAGGCTGATAGCTGGTAAGGCTGGTAAACCCTTACCAGGGTTTAAGGCTGGTATCCAATGCCCATGCGTGTAGGCTATCGCTAGCAACAAACCTTTAGGTGTTTTTTCGACCTTTAGACACCTGCACTTGTCTTCTGCGGATGGGAAGCATGCATTTGCCGCATTTAATGACGATCAGTTATCAAGCCAGCCCACTTTTTGTTACCAACAAGACGGGTGCAGTCAATATAACCCTGCATAGGGGTTCCTCTGTCTGGCTTGCCGCTACAAACACGTCGATGCTCTGAGCACGCTGCTGCGTTCTGTTAAAGGGGCGCTAATTATACAAGCGTTCTTAAGCGGAGTGCCCCAAATGCTTCTAAGATTTGCTGGCGGGATTGAAAACACCATCGCTCTTCATTTTGTTATCGCACAGAAATGGACGCCAGTCACGTTATCTATTGAGAACTATAATATTGAAGATTGAAAACTACAAAACACGCACACAGCTGCTGTGATTGCATTATGTTCAGTCTGGAACGAAGTCCATATTTTCCTTGAGAACTTTATGTGTTGAAGCCAAACGTACAGAACTGGTGAAAAACCAATAAATCGTCGTGGTTGACGATGGGAAGTTCTAATGGCACACGGTCGCGAAAACCCTTTGCTAGGAAATTACTACCAAACAGGGTGAAGCAATTCGGCCTTCAAGCAGCCTTACGACGTCGGGACGTAGGAGTGGAATGAGCTGAACCAATAGCGCGTACAGAGGGGGGGGGGGGGGGGGGCACAAACGAGAGCCCAAAGAGCCCTTCGAAAACTACAATTAAGGATCCGATTTAAGGACCAGAAAACCCAGCCAGGGGTATTATTCAGGGGCCTCGACCCGCAGGAACGGGCCCTCA